GCATGGAATGAATGCAGGATACGCATGGCGGCCATGATGCTAAAGCAAAAGCACAGTGAATGTGAAGTCTAAATGAGCATTAAGAGGAAATCCACAAAAACCCTGTATACACAGAGCTGGGGAACCCACAGTCCCAGAGGTGTGACCCCTACTGACCGCCTAAGCTAACATCTGTGAAAGAAGCTGCCGTATTATGAGCGTGTTTGCGTTGGACTCAGTGCTGTGGTTTAATGGTGAGCCTTTTCAGCGACACCACATGATGCTCTCCCCCAATGTGGCGGTGAAGCCGCACATATCGACCGCTCCATTGGCACTTGTGTAACTCTCGGTAGGTAGTGGTTTCTTGCTTAGCATGCTAATCTCACTTAGCATGACAATCTGCAGCCGTGGGTCTGACATTACAACGGTTACTTTGCCAGTAGACCTCTTTTGTTCTGCTGTACTGTCAGGCTATAGAAATTTAAAATATTAAACAAAATATGTCAGTGTATTGTTTCCTATCCTTTCTCTTTATACACACTTTTATGCCGATTTGTTATTTAAAGCGTGATACTCTTGCCCATCGTCGTAGCTAATTTGTATGACTGATGCAGGCAGGCTAAGATCTGAGGCCTTACTTGTAATTCCTGGAAACCTGTGATGTGTCACGCCCAGCTGTCTAGGGTAGATGAATGTGCTTTATAGGTATGATTAAATAAGCCTGTGGGGAGGGGGACTGGACACCCCCCACTCTGTTTAAAGAAGTGTTTCTCGACCCAGTTCCAGGGACTCCCAGATGGTCCATGTTATTTCACCCTCCCAGCCTCCTGCCAGACACTCCACCTTTTTGCTCCTTCCCAGCTCCCGGACTGTCTGGGGTCCCCAAGGACCTGGTGGAAAAACACTGGGTTAAAGGTTCGACATCCTCTCACCGATGTCTGAGCATTGGACCACCCTGCGAGAGCACTGGCACGCGAACGGGCAGTGGTAGTCGGGGGAGCTTGCAGGGAAGAACCGTCTGGATGGAATGAGGAAGTTGTCATTGTCGTCGTCGTCGTCGTCGTCGTCCTTGTCATCGTCATTGTCGTCGTCGTCGTCATCCCCAGCGTCCTGCAGCCACAAGTCTCGGCTCCTCAGGACATCCAGGGTATTGACAGATTTGTACAGCCGGCCCTGGACCAGAACCAGGAGGGTCAGCAGTAGGAGCGCCCGCATGCTGGGGGTCCGATCGCCGAGTGGGGGAGGTCTGCAGAAGCACAGGCGCCGCTTGTTCAGTCATTCGGTTGGAATAACAGAGCCATGGACAGTCAGTCATAGCTCCAGACACACCTGTGTCACCCAATGATCCCAACACCCGAGCAGCTAAAGATCTGTTTACGGCCTCGAAGTTCACTTTGCAGTTCAGGCACCTTTGCAATGTGACAGACTTCCTGAATCCATACTTTACTGAGAGACTGACAGGCGCAATTCCAAGGATAGGGTTTGTGTTCCGTCGCCCTCAGTGTCTGGTGTGTTTTATTTAATCCCCGACTTGATAGCATAACATAAAGAAGTAGGTATAGTGGTTAAAAAAATAGTACATCACATAAAGATATTCTTTTCACAAATCGGGATAACGATTTCCTTTTAGATGAATGGTAGGTGACAGCCTTTTTGTGCACAGTGCACAGTGTTGTGGATTTTGGATTTAATCAGATTTATCTGTTCTGCTTTATTGTTGTATTGAGCATCTAACAACATTTTAATTTATTATGAATGAAAATATTTCAGTCTGGGGGTTTGATTAGTTGAAAATTAATTAATGATAAAAATAAATTATAACTTTATTTGAATGAGATTGCCTTTAAATCATTAATCTTTATTTGCCTCAAATGGTTAGAATTCAAGCTTCAGCAAATATATTTACCTACAAGAGCATGCCTGTTCTCATTGCTCATTTATCAACATGAGAATAATCCTGTAGCTTTGATGGCTTTTCACATCTCACTTTCATCTAGCATTGAGCAGAGCAGAAACAAACCAGTAGCTAATGTAGAGTGATAAACCTGCTACAATATACCCTTTCAATAAATGACTACATTTTGTTACCAGGTTACAGGTTTTAATTGCACATAAACACATGAATTTCACTGGAAATAGGAATAATAATCACATACCTTTTTTGTTTTTAAAAAAGAGAGATTAATCTTTTTTTAATTCCAAAAAAAATCCCTTAGGCAAAACATGCACCCAAAAAAAAACTGGTAATATCATCAATAGATTCTATGTCCGCAAAATTGGAGAATTTGAAAAATGAAAGGAGATGGTGGTTCAGTATAAGCACAGTTCCCAAAAGCAATCAAAGCTGAGCAGCCACTGGCACTGCGAGGTTATGCTCGAATGGCGAGCCCTCGCTGCTCGTCACATCGCCGTGTTCTTGACAAACGTTGAAAATGCATTGTTGCTGCTCATATGTTTCCCATCAGCACACTGGGCTTGGGCCAGGGCTGCTAGATTATGTTCCTCTGCTCGATTCTCGCAGAGGGTATACCCGTACGCCCTCTGCCTTCTCGATTTAGTAGGTGGCATCCTGCCATTTCAAACACTACTCGTGGGGCAAAACCTTTTTTTTAAGAGAGGGGTAAGAGATCAGTGTTAATGTAGCTGTTTTTAAAAATAACACACTTTTTTTTCCAGTGAAATTTCCAGAATTTGTTTGATTAAAGAGGACTAAACACCCTGCTTGAAGATGTTTGACTACCGTGACTTATTTTTCCAATAGCTTGTTATTTTTTCATCAGTTGATCAGCTGATAATTTCCCTCCTGGATCTCAAAGCCACGCAGTCACCAGTAAAAACATTAATTTGGCTGTTTATGATGATGTCAGTGTCACGGCAGGATGTGTGTTAGGTCTACCTCAAATACGCTGTGACCCAAAAAATGGGGTTTAACCTCGGTATTGTCCTCAGACACCCCCCCTTTTCACCACAATGACTGTTGCCACGAAATTTTGTACAGGAAATGCAAATCATAAACTTTTCCTGGATTTCCAAAATTTTGTTTGGAACTTCAAGACTGTCTACAAAATTATGTAATCTGCATAATGTGCATCCTTTGAGAATGAAAATGAAATGGCCAGTTTTTCGCTTTGTAAATTGCATGGTTGCTTGTGCGGTTTTTGCTTATCAGTTATGCTATGAGCCCCAGCAAAATGTCTCCGAGACCAGAGATCACCTCCTCATGTGTCTGTATCCACAGTAAAATGTAATGGGTCAATTTGAAAGAAGGAGGTAATAAAACGGCAGGTACTTAGTAAAAGCAAACCGTAATAGTGGGAATATAATCGTGCCAAATCGGATAAAGCAAACATATTTTCAGAGAATGGTTGTTTTTCCAGCATGAGCCTGGTTCAGATAAACACTTGTTTTTTTTTTGCCAAACTTATTTTTTTTTTGGGGTGGGGGGGGGGGGGTTCTTTATGTTTCAAACCACCTCAATAAAATTGCTAAGGGAATCGCAGAAACGCTGAACTTCAGATTTATTTAGTTACATTAAAAATATGAAATTTCCACCAGAGTTTGCAAATATGACAACACGTATATTGAGATTTTTTTTTTTTAAAGTGACATGGGGGGGGTGTTATATCATTTTATTTCTGGAATAAAATGGAAAAGTATGATCTCTTTACACTGAGAGAAGCGGGGATGGATTGTAGCAGTCAGAACGGTACAGGGAGAGCTCAGATTCCAGGCAAATGTAATGCTGTTCCCTCTCATGGCGGCACACGCATATGCTTACTGCAGCACAAAATGTTGTTTTAAGAGCTGCCTGCAGTTGTACTTACGGCTGGTCAGTGTTCCAAGAACGTTTCGGTTTGGCAAGGAGCTGGAAATTAGGAAATCATTTTTTCCTGAACATTGGGGGCTGCGCAGGGGGGCAACACGCTATTCCAAAAATACATTTTTATCTTATAATAATAATAATACGTTTTTTTAATATAATAAATATAAATTTAATAATAAATTTTTTAAGTAACTTTAATATGCAAAAGTGTAACATTTTAATTGAGTCACTGAGCATCCATCTACATTACTACGTCACTGTAAACCCTTCAATCTGCGCTGGGCTTCCAGATATCTGTGCAGCCACCTTCAGTACTCTGAGCAGCATGGACTGGCAGGTCAGCGTTTTCCTCCATTAGGTTTTGACGACAACGGCAAGCAAATATAACACATTTTCATTATGTACTTTGGAACAGATTATTTTCAATGCACGATTACCAACTTGCCCCCATCTACTGTTCTCACGAATTTTCTTTCTTCAAGTAATTGTGAATCACACCATGCTGTCATTGCTCTGCAATGCTGCACACCAAACTGCCCACATCCCAGTAGAGGATGGGTCCCTCCGGCCTTACAAATAACATGGCTCCCTGTCTGGGTTCTGTCATTTTCTCAAGCTTGAGGCCAGTCAGGCAGTCTACGTGTAACCAGAGCCGTTCCAAACTGTGGTCCAGTCGGCAGCCGGGGGGAGAGAAAATGTGTGCATTTTATGCTTCAGAAGAAGAGGGGAAAGTCTGACTGGGTAACCCAAGCTCTCGTTTTGCTTAATTTTCATAACTTGTGCATTATTAGACATCATATGACTGATTGTTTAACTCATGGTTTCAAAAGCAACCTCTTATTTAGAAACCATCTGTTTATGCAGCATCAAGAGATGTATTCCTGGTGAGAGGCTGAGGACACGGCCCTTTTTATTATGACCTCAAGAAATTCCTTACTAATAGCTCATGTCTCCATGTGACAGGAAAGAACATCATTATGGGGATATTGAGGAACAGCTAAGGGTGCAGAACCAGCGACAGTGCAGCGTTAGTACAGCATCAGCTAATGCCCTTTTGAAATATACTCTCTCTGATTTCTTTATGATCGTTGCTGGCTGGCGGAACCAGGCTTGATTACGCTGTTTATCTCATTTCGTAAAATCGTCCAGCCATGAGTGATTTACTCTGTACGTGGAAATACAATTATAGGAGCCACTGTTTTGCTTTGATGTTTTATTGGTGCACTGAAGCAGTACCACTGACATTATCCTATTAAAATGTACATAATCACACCTTATTTTGTTAAAAATTATTTTAAAAAGCCTGCTTTTAATCTGAACCAGCCAAGTACAGGTGCTTAAGAGTCATAAACTTGAAACAGTCAAAAAGAATAATGTATCCAAATACTATAAAAGTATAGTTAAAATACAAATAAAAAGAGCTGTTTTCGCATAGAACTCGGTCTCCTAAAAGGGGACGTTGGCATTGTCCCTATAAATTTCTCTGTTGGTGTCTTTAGATTAGATTTAAATAAGAGTTGCCTCGTTGTCTAAATGTACCAGGATATTAACTTCCATTCCTATGAATATAAGAACATAAGAAATTTACAAACGAGTCCATCAAGCTCGTTTGGAGAGAACTCAACTAATAGCTCAGAGTTGTTGAAATCTTATCTACCTCTGATTTAAAGGATCCCAATGTTTTATGTGAGAAATTCGTTTCTATATTGATGGTTTTTGTAACTGTACAGCAAAGTGAGGCTCTTTTATCCAGTAACCCAACTTTGATTACAGCTGGCCAAGGACTCTTGTTTTCATAAGCAGCCTTAATGAGCCATGTTCTTGCCCAGTTCTTCTCCTCTGTGATATCTGTAAAGGTGTGCCAATGCTAAGGAGACGTCACGTAACAGAGGGCACCTCTCCATGGGGCAGCACTTTCCACAGAAAAAGAATTAGTTTCACCGCTCACGATAAACATGTTATTGTGGGAAATGGCTTCCATCTGCACCATCTGCAGACGTCTCTTTGGTACGGAAAGGAAATGTTGAAGTAGATGAAGGTGATCATTACCGTACTGCAAAGCTTCAACATTTTTTCCTCATTACATGATTTTTTTTTTTTTTTTGAGAATTTATGGAAATTTTATTAAATATTATAAGGGGGAAAAAATGCAAATCTGTGGTCAGGTAATGATTACTTTTGCTTTAAAAAATGTAAGATGGCAATTGCATCTTAAAATGTCTAATCTTAAGATTAAAAAAAGGAATTGTCTTTGAATCGTGGCGGCACCGTATCATCATTTATATCCATGTACTTGTGTGTGATTTTTTTCTTGTGAAGCACTGACTTTGCCCTTTTGTACATCTGTTTGTTTTTTTCCTCTTTTGGACCATAATCATACCATAGATTAAGTCAGTATTTGACCTTCTGTGGCTTCAGAACAACACTAGAGTAGGAGATTATGCAGGAGAAAGATGTTGGGGAGAGCTTCCGGGTGTCAATGAAGTTGTTTTCCAGACGCAGAGTCACCAGGCTGGAGTCTTCGTCATTCTGGGGGTCACATATGGACTCTTCTTCGAAGCTCCTGTTGGAGGGGGAACGGTTGCGTGAGTGAACGTATAGCCAGGGCTGCTCAGAAACCGAGTCCCATCTTAGGGGATCCCCATCTTAGGGGATCCCCATCGTAGGGGATCCCCATCTTAGGGGATCCCCATCCCCAGACTTTCCCAGTATTTCACTGGACCAGGGGACACTTCGGGATTGGGGGAGTGGCTGGATGATCTATTAAATACCGTTATGTTTTCAAACCACACCGTTTGTTATGACCCCTGACTTGTTATGACCCCTGACTTTTATGTGAAAGCTTGTTGCTTTCACATAAAAAAAAAAAGCCACTTCTGGCTCGCCGATTGATCCCCCCCAGTTGACAAGTTTTACCAGTCCGTGAAATTTTTGCGCAGCGTATGTCGGTCTGCAGTCATCAGAAGGTTGGGAACACCCCTAAGCTATTTTAAATTGTTACAGATGCTCATTCATAAATTCCTCTTGTGTCCTTTGAAGTCACTAGGTCTCAGCCTGCTCCTCAGACTCCTCAGCTGGTCCACACTCTTCTTCTGTTTTGTTACCTACATACTTAATTTTAATTACTTATTACTTATGGCTAAGTGTGCGTCTGTGATCGGATGGTTGCCGGCTCAAATCTGTCAGGGTTGGCAAAGTGAATTTCACCGTTGGGTCCCTAAGCAAAGCCCTTAATCCCTAATTGCTCTAGGGACTGTCTGACCCTGCTTTGTCAAAGAAATTGTTTGCTAAATAAGTAGAATGTACTTATTGCTTTATAGGAAGCTCTCAGGGAACTAATTTCATTGCCTAAATCTACAGCTGAGTGCTGTACTGTTGTGCAATTGATAATTAAACTTTGATTTGATTTGACTTGTTGGCTAATTATAATGTTCTTGATTTTCTAGCTCAGACATGCAGGTGGTATATTAGAACAAAAATCCAGACTGGGTGGGGAACTTGGGATTGGGTTCAGAATCTCAGTCTTAACTCAAGAAGGAGAACAGCCTCAACTCTGAGAAACCAATGACTATCAGTGAATCGCATCTTTTCACCCGGAAAGAGTATTACTCCTTGCCATCTTCGCCCATAGAATGCTGCGGGTTTAGCTGCAGGTTTACCTGATTCTGTTGTCGTTCAGTCTGAGGAAGTGCAGCGACCTCATCTCGCTGATTCCTGGGGGTATGGAAGCCAGCTGGTTGTGGTCGAGGAACAGTTCGATCAGCGAGTGGTACGCCCCGAAGAAGGATGTGCTGTCGATCCCATCGCCGTCCAGCTTGTTGAATGACAGGTACAGGTACTCGATGCCCGGGTTCATGTGGGCGAACACGTAGCCTGGAATCCTGTCAATCTGGTTTCCGACCAGAACCAGATGGACGAGAGATCCCGGCAGGAAAGAAGGGACTTGATACAGTTTGTTGTGTGACAGGTCGATGGATTCCAGGTTCCTGAAAGTGGGGAAACCGGAAATGAAAAGTGGAGATGATATTTTTTTGTTTAGTCATTGAGTTTATAAGTAGGAAAGTAACAGAGTAACTCCAGTAGATCTGATTTTTAGTTCAATGACAATGAACATTGCTGAAGCATTATAAAATAGGGGAGTTTTGAGAAATGATATAGTTGAGAAATTCTGTATTTAAGGATTTTTCTGTTTGAGCAGCTAAAAATGTTATAATAATAGGTATTTTATGCCTCCCCCAACTTGCTCTCTGTAGATAAGAGCAAGCTGGCTGTGAGGGGCAGCCTCCCATTGCGGCATCTAGGGAGCTGGGGGTTAAGGGCCTTGCTCAAGGGCCCGCAGATGTGCCGAGGCCAGGCTTGAACCAGCAACCTTCTGATTACAGGCACACAGGCTTAGCCCACTGAGCCACATGTCCACCATATGTGAATAGGATTTGAAATAGTGTAACATTTTGAATAGGCTGAATATGTCATATTTGTCATTGTATGGATGAATGGTAAAAACACACATGTGAATTAACAGTTTAAAATCAAAGCTTAAAATTTTAACTTTTCCTGTTATAAAATAATCACTCATATAATATTCGGAACGTGTGGTTATTGTTTTTCAGGTCAGTTGTTAAGGATGCTCTTGATGTTTTGTTACAATTAGGATAGAAATTAGCAAAGCTGTTGTGCATCTGGAAGATAAGTGTTAGCATTTTTAAACACCGTTACCGTTTTTTTATCATCACACTAGACATCTCAGCCAAGACCAACATCTGAAAGCAATCAGGTGATTTGTAGATGTTTACAGTCACGCTGAGCGGCAGCGAGCCTGCAGGCCCCCTTACTCACTTATGATTGATCCACGCCAGGGGGGCGATGCGCGACTCCTCCAGTTTGTTGTGCCTCAGCACGACTACATTCAGGTTTGTGGTGCGGTTGAGTGCCGATTCCGATATTTCTTCGATCAGGTTGTTTTCGAGGTACAGCTCCTGAGAAATGAAGCCTTAGATTTTGTGTTGATCTTGTGAATACACCATTCCTTGCATCATACTTACTGCCGAACCTCTGAGGTGCTTTACTGGCTATTCGGGCAAAGAAATCACTCGTTTCTATGGTGAGCTTTGGTGTTTTGGTTAACCATAGTTACTGTTCAAGTTTAAATGGCTTCCCCAGGTAAAACACAGTACAGTCTGGCAGACAGGCAGAATTTGATCCTTATTTCCACTCATCCAGCCTGGTTAACTTTGCAAATAGTTTAAGAGATATTCTGTCATTGGAAATAAACTCACATACAACAAAACGTGCCCATCACGATTTTTTTTAAGTAACCCCAAGGGTTCTACATAGAATGTGGTGGCGAGTGCTGGCTAGAATAGACACTGAACAGTGAACTCTGAGGTTTGTTTTACTGTTTCCTCTAGGGAATTGCTATTGAGCTTTGGGATATTGAGGGAATCTGTGTTTTTCCTCATCCAGGGTGATGAGCCTGAAAATAGCCAGCCATTTGTAAACAGGGGGGCATTATCCTTACTTCTGTTCATCCATATTCTGTAACTGTTTATCCAATTCAGGGTCATATTTAGCTAAAGTTTTTACCCGACATGCTTTTTTTGAGACAGTAGGGTGAGGCAGTCCCCGGAGGAACTGAGCCTGACGTTAATATCACTCTGCCGATCCTGGGATTTGAACCAACAACCTTCCGATCACAAGCATAGCGTCATAACCCGCCGAACCACACACCCTTGCCCTCGTATGACCCTCCGCCTGGGGCAGACTCACCAGCAGGCTCTGTGGTAGCCCCTGTGGGATGGTGCGGAAGTGGTTTCTGCCCAGCCGCAGGTAGGCGAGCTGCTTGAGGGCCTGGAAGGCCATGGGGTCCACGTTGGCCTCGCTCAGCAGGTTCCCCTCCAGCTCCAGTGTCACCAGGCTGCTGAGATCTGGCACACACCACATAGTGAATGCCGCGAGCCTGTCATGGCCTTCAAGCGAGCTAATGAATGTTTATGGTCGTTTGTCAGGGCTGTAACAGTAATCAGTGCCGCTCTTGTGCGCTTTTGATCATTATGGGTTGTTTACGGGCACTTCAAAAGCTTATGTGAAATTACCATCCAAGCTGTCATCGTCGATCCCGCTCAGCTTGTTTTCGTTGATCTTGAGCTCTTCCAGGCTGGATGGTAGATCTTCCGGAATTTGCTGCAGGAGGTTTCCACCCATGTAGAGCCGCCTTAAGTGTCTCAGCTTCTGTCAGTGAAAATGATGAGGTGAATGGACTGGTGTGACGTCATGATACCAGGAGATCAGGAGGCACGGCTGTGATTAGAATGTAGGTCTGTGCTGCTTAAATGAAATGAAATTAAATTAATGAACATGGAGGTTAATACGTGGCTCCCGTGCTCTGCTCTGTTGCTGTCATGATGGGGAGTTTCCAGTAAATGGTGGCTTTAGTGTTTAATGCAGATCTACACTCACCTAAAGGATTATTAGGAACACCATACTAATACGGTGTTTGACCCCCTTTCGCCTTCAGAACTGCCTTAATTCTACGT